AAAAAAAAAAAAAAAAAAAGAATGGAAAGAAGAGAAGGGAAAGTAATAAAGTATTAGTGTCCATTATTTACTCATCTGTAGACCTTTGGAGAAACAAATACAAGAAAGAAGACATAAAACCTAATAATTGTTCCTTTTTTTATTTAGTGAACACTTTTCTTAAATGTCAATCTTTGTAGTAATAGGTAGTGTCTTTACACATATTCTCACCTAAAAATATGTGCAGTATCAGACTTAAATTTCTTAGGATTCTGGGTCTCTTAGAGGACTGAAAGAGTTTGCACCATTTTTCATCGTATCCATTTTTATTATACATTTGTATTTTAATTAGAACTGAGTGGATAGGGTGCCACGTATCAGGCCTAATTTGCATAAGCAATGGTTCTAATACCAAAAGTTAGCAGTGCACTTGTGTCCAATGAAGACGTGATTCTGTAATTTGCCAAATAAAATGATATTTTTTAGAAGTATTTCATTCTGTTTACCATTGGTACTGGGTTTTGGTTCAGTTTATATGATCACATTTTACCAAGTCCGTATAACTTAATAATATATTTATGGCCACTGGAATTAAATGACCCCCAGGAGAAAGAAAATAGAGTTCAACTATTATCTGTGGTGTAGATAATTGCTTTTAACTTCAGATCTTGACTTGTTTATAGTTTATATATGTAAAAGAATTGCTATTGCTGTCATAGTAATTTTCTTTTTATTAACTTGGGACAGAGTCTCTGTTGCCTGAGCTAGAGAGCCATGGTGTCAGCTTAGCTCACAGCAATCTCCAATTCCATGGGTTCAAGAGATCCTCCTGCTTCAGTGCCTTGAGTAGCTGAGACCACAGGTGCTCACCACAGTGCCAGGCTAATTTTTCTATTTTTAGTAAAGATGAGTCCCCCTCTTGCTCAGGCTGGTCTTGAACTCCTGGTCTCAAGTAATCCTCCTGCCTTGGCCTCCCAGGGTGCTAGGATTTTAGGCATTTTCCCCTGCACCTGACCTGTCACAGTAAAATTTTAATTTAGATATAAAACTTAATTCTGAGAGAAAATTTAGGGAATAATGTGAAAGGAAAGAGAAGCACTAAGGACAGAAATTCACCAGGATCCCTGTGGTTAAAGTACATTCCTGTATTTTAAACAAAGATGCCTAATGGTTGAATTTTCAATTCTACCAGATCTGTTACTTTATTAAATCAAATGAAATGCATATTACCTTTTCTGACTTACTTGTATTTTATCTTACAGATTCAACAGAGCAATAATTTTTATACTTAAACAGCCCTTACATTGTATGTCTAATATACTTCCATAATCCATAAATTATGCGTGCATAATTTATGTTTTACTATGAGAATGTTCACAGAAATACAGGGTTACTATGTCTACTAACTCAAATGAAAACATACAGTCTCACCAGATTTTAAAAGCCTAAACAATAATTATATATTTTATGGAGTACAAATATTGAAACAATGTAAATACAAATTCCATCCATACTTTTTTTTTTTTCCCTACAATTCCTGGTACTGCGAGGTGTTTTATAAGCTTTTGCTATTTCTGTCTTTCAAATTTATTCTGTTTAGTTGAAGGCTCCTCTTCTAAATGCTCAAGTTGAATTTTGCCAACATTGAAAACAATCTTGTGCGCGCGCGTGTGTGTGTGTTTGTGCTGTGTTCTTCCATGAACCATTCCCTTTGTGGCGTTATCAGAGATAGCAGTATTATTATTGGGTATAACATAGCTGTTTACGCAGTCCTTAATCCGGAAACTATACTTCAACCTGGATTTGGACATACCACTAGAAATAAATGATAGAATTAATTCAAAACACTTAATATAGCTTCAGAGATAAAGTCTGAAGCATAGTTACACCTTGGAAAAAGGATTAGACTTTTTAAAGCTGCAGTAATAAAACTTTTGATTTGAGGTTTAAAAAAAAAGTTGTGATGAGAGACAATGAAATTAATGTTAGTAGCTTTTGCACAACTGTGGCTCACTTTACAAAAATAATTGTGTTTTTGTAATTTCCCTCAAACATGGGAAATTGCTTTAAACAATAAAATCTTAGTTGAGACATGCTAGCAAAAATCAGTAGAATTGGAAAGGTTTGCAAGTAATAGTGAATTCCCCTTAAGAAAATCTTTCTTTCCTGTCAAGTAATTACTATGAGGCTCCTATGGTTTTTTTATCGTTAGCCAAAGTTTAGGATGTTAAAATAACTGACTGATACGAAGCAAAAAATTTAGTTGTGATAATATCCAAACAAATGCAGTATAATTTTATATAAGTTTCAGTACGTTTCTATTTACGATTTGATTTATTTATTTTATACATGCTTCCCAGGACAGTCCTCTGGTCTTACAGTCTGACAGGAATGTGACAGTGAATGCAAGAAATCACAGGGGACAGTTAACTGGACAGCTGACCGTAGGTGAGTGTTTCGGGGGGACGCATACTCAGACCTTATTACTACTTGAAAACTCTGTGCTTATTTTAATTGGGGAAATAAAAGTGTGTCTCTTACCTGATAAGTAGACATCTCATGACACCCCAGTAATCTTGCACATAAAGCTAGTTATGTTTTTCTGTATTTGGTAGTTAATGCTCTTATCATTGTATTATCATAGACTGAATTTGCTGGTCATTACTCTTGAATCATGAAATGTGGTATTTTCCTAATGGCTCTTCCCATAGCATATGTTAAAGTATAGTACGTTAAAGTGTAATAATTAAACAAACATGTGAGGTGACATATGTTTATATGACCTCATGAGGACTTAGTTGTACTTTCTAAGAAAATTAATTATCAAATATTATCTGCTTTTAGTATAAATAGAAATTTTACAAATCGAGTATAATCAATGCACGTATTAGTTACTTACAAATTTGTTGTTGCAATTAACAATATTTTCAGGCTTATCGGCTTTAGGACTTATACGGTAATGATAAAGTATTGGTAGTTTTCTAATAACAAATACTTTATAGATGGATGTTGTAGCCAATTACAAAGAATTTTACTTAACTTTTATAAGACAAAGTGATTTGTAACTGTTAAATTATGCACAGTTTTGATTTGTGTGTAGAAGCTAAATATTTTTAGAACTGTATTGGTTCTGTGGGGAAATTATCTAACACATGATATATCCTTATATGTATATCTAGAGGAGGAGAAAGGGGGAAAAGAGAGTAATGTAAATTACATTTTAAGGACTTAATCTTAAGGAGAAATTAAGCATCATATAAATGTGCATGTATGTTTCCAATATTTCTAATATCAAATTTGAAATGTAAAATTTATAACCATGAATGAATTTTGATCCTAGGCAACGTGTGGGTATATGAAATATTTTTGCTATTTTTTTTGTGTTAATGCTGCCAGAGGGGAAACATACATGCATATAGCTATGCATATATCTTCTAAAAGTATAATTGCATCATTTTATTTATAAAAATTCAGTTTTATTTTCTATATTATTTAAATCATAAAAGTTTGTCTATACCTGCGTACTCGTTGCTATAACGGGATAGCATTTTATGATAAATATCAATCATAAAGGAGAACCATAAGCAGCAAATTGATTAAACATTAAATAAAAGAAAAATGTCTGTGGACACAGCTGATTCAGAAGCATCACGCCCTCACCTTAAATGTTCATGCCACTTCACTCCTGTGATGTTGGCACTAAGAAACAGGTCTCCAGAAATGGCCTTAGCTGGACAGTTTTTGCACATCGTAACTTTCTCCAAGTTGAGAACTCTGGAGCTAAATAGAAATTTCTTTCACCTTCGCTGCTTAATATAGAAAGAAAGCTGAGTGAAAAATTCAAAATGTCAAAATTAAGCACAAAAAGCCTCTATGCCAATGCCCACTGTCAAATGCAATAGCTCTGAAATTCCTGCCTATTTGATTATATGGGGCTGTAATCGAATATTGTTTGCATTTCGCTGCGTGCTTTCCTGCAAGGAATATAAAGAATGTATGGTGCGGCATTTTCATTCCCTCTTCTAAACTTGATTTAATTGTAGTTTTAATATTTCTCAGATAAGGAAAAAGAGGGAGAAGAAGAAGAGGGAGTTGGAGAGAAAAGTTAAGCATTGTTCTAAATGCAGCAGATGACGAGATGTGTGATAGGGAAGCTTATTCTGTGCATGGATATGAATTTATTCCAATAAGACTTAAAAACTGTTTAGTATCCTGGTCTTCTGGGTGTGTTGATGACTTTTATCTTTTCACCAAGTATTTTTTAACGAGCATAGAGCAAACGAAGGTGAGGATGGAGATAGGAAGAGAAGGTGCTCACATTTGCAGTCAAACTAAGTGGGGCAACGTAGCAATTCACTGGATGCCAACAAAATACTTTATCTCCTAGAGACTCTGTTTTCAATTCTCTAACATTGGTATAATGAAATTTATATTGAGTATTTCTCGAAGAACTTGCGTTATTTGAATGTCCGAAAATGAGAGGCAATTACACATTGAATCTACAATTGTTTTGATGGTGATTGTGGTTACTGGTATCAATAAGTGATATTGAAATTTTCCATGCAGTGTAGCTCTGTGGTAGGGAAGTGCACCTGATGAATTGTAATTTTGCAGAAATGCGCTACAAAAAGTTTTACAGAAAATGTATCTGATACGTGGAAACGTTTGATATGAGGATAAATTTACTTCTGTGTAGAATCTGAAGTCATAATGTAATGAATTTAACCAAGGTAAACAATCAGCCCTCATTTTGAAAGACTATAGCTTTAATCTTATTGACAAAAAGGAATCTTGAACCCTCTATTCCTATTTCTTTTATTTTTATTTTCGTTGTTAAATATTTTTTTTCATTTTCATTTTCTCTTTACCACAATATCATGAGCATAATTAGTTATCTTAGGGGCATGACCTTGATTATACCATAGTCATGATACCATTTTGCAATATTTAAAAGATAGAGAAACAATTCTATTGACTGCCAATAGAACCTATTGATTACTGTGGCAAAACTATAGTCAGTTCTACTAATGAAGCAAGCTAAAAATTTGAATATTTTTCTAGATTTTGTTCTCATTATATATGTTTACCATTTTTCCTCAATAGAAAATATTCATTTCCCTTGTATCTGCCTTTTTCTTCATGAACTTAACCGTCCTACTAGCTAAACTTGCACGAATACATATAGTTCAGGGACTCAGAAGACCCGTGTATTAATTGTAATCCACATGTATTTGAAGATTATGAAGCTAAATTATTTCTAATCCAATAAATGCAAAAAAAATTTACATATATTCTAGCCCACGTATAATTAAAACGTTTGGAAGGGTACAAATCAAATCTATCAAGTATTGAACACCAATGTCTTGACACTGTGATTAAGTAAATGTGGTGAAAGATGCTGATTAGTAGGATGTAAGCACTCCAATTTGTACAGATAATCAACACATTGAATCCCACAAATGCATAAATGTATTCATGATCTATGTATATATGACTTAATAAAAATCTAGAGTTTTTAGATTTTTGGTTAAAAAATCAATTCAACAGGGCTGCACCTGTGGCTCAAAGGAGTAGGGTGCCGGCCCCATATGCCGGAGTTGGCAGGTTCAAACCCAGCCCCAGCCAAAAACTACAAAAGAAAAAAAATACATAAATAAATAAATAATTTTAAAAAATCAATTCAACAGATAATTTTGTAAATTTTAGAAATTCTAGGATTTCTGTTCACTTTGACCAGATAATATCAGAATTTCCTCCCCACTAAGTCTCACATTCTAAGTTTCATGACCTACATAACATTGGAGGATATTAATGAACTCAAGATTTCTTCCTCCAAATTTTTCTTCTGAGAATAAAGCTGAAAGAGAGGAATAAGATTGTTATTGAAAAGTGGTTAAAGAAAGTACAGCATCCCAAGAGGTCAGACTCCTCGAAGAAAGAGCAAGAACTTTCTTAAACAAGTCTCAGGGTCATTCATTCTCCAGGTCAAAAATTTCTATTATTCAATCTATAATATTCTGTTTTTCCTAGCAGAATATTCCTTTTTTAAAAAAGGGGGACAAAATAATATGTGATTTTACAGCTTGTTACATATTCATATGTGCGCATGGCATGACGATATTTTTCATGATTTTCTATACAATAACGTGAGTACAAGGTGTGAATTATGCACCATCTTTGGGAAGCTTACCTTATTCTCTTAGGAAACTGCTGTAATATGTGGTAGTTAGGATAAAAATCACTTCATCAGGGTAGTGCAAATAAAATGCTGTCATGTAGTTTTGACATAGACTTTATTTACAATAGTATTAATAGTAATTAATGCTGTAGTAATTGGATTCGCTAAACATGTAATGATCTTTTCCACAGTATCATGAGCAGAATTAATTATCTTTATTTACCAATACCATTACATTGATCTTTAATAGATAGAATACAGTTCATCTACTTTTATGAGCAACTTAAAAATATAAATTGATTTCGGCAAAACTATTACTCTTTAATAAATCTTAGCCAACTTAGCTAAGGTATTAAAGTATAGATTGCATTTTCTTACATTAACAGATTATCTTTTATTTTTGAGATGCTACAGCAGTGGCTAAAATTAACTACACTAATGTGCTTTTTTTCCTTCTCTCTGCCTTTTGCCATCAGCCTGTAGGTGGAAGATAAGAATTAAAAAGGATAACCTGAGAGGTTGGAAAAAGAATAATGTTTATGGATAGAGCTAGTTGTATTTTTATTTTTGTATTTAGGTGGCCTCCTTCAGTTTACATTTCAGTCCCAGACCGTGACCTCTGAGAAACCCAGTAAGGCCACTTTTGTAGCTCTGTGTCCCAGACATCCTAAGAAGTTCTCTAATGCAACATCATATTATTATCTCAGAACAAGTTAGAGTTCGTTGGGTCTTAAAAACCAGAAATGTCATTGTTCCAAAAGCTTAGATTTAGTATGTGCTTAAAACGACAAATTTATGCTTCAAATAATCTCTCATAGTTCACCGTGAATGTCAACAAATTTGGAAGAATGAATAGTGAATGAATGAACCAGAAACTGTTGGCTATTACTGTCAGAATCATTTCTTCATCTTTGATAGTCTCACTTCCATTTCTCAAAAATCAGGGACACCACCAAATTATATAAAACCTTTATCATTATGTATAACCTAGTTAGAATCTTTAATCCCTTCTTTTGTGTTTTTCTTTAGTAATTCTTGAATGCTTAGCGGGGTGACTGCCTTAATAAGCCTCACTATATAGTAAACAAAATGTCTTTTGCAAGCAATTAAACTAAGTGACATTTATATTCCGTATTAGTTTTCCTTATCCTGTTTCACACTTTAATGATTAAAAACTTCCCAACAGTGAAAACTGATACAGTTTCTGCAGCGGACTTGGCTCTGATTCCTTCAGAGGTCTGCGTGCTTCCCCTCTGTGCCCAGGGAGATG